TATATATATATAAAAGTTATCTTGAATGAACATATATTACTGCTACAGTTATAGACTGAACTAGTTCCCTAAATTTACCATTTTGCCTTTCTATGAGGAAGTATTCTGGGGGCCCCAGTGTTCCAGGACTCTGGAGGGCACCGGCTCTCACAACAGCACGTTCCCCTCCGTGTGAAGACCACCTTAGTCCCAAGTGGCCCGGCACGCAGACACCCTGAGGCCCCAGCATCACCGGCAGCTGTCGTGCCGCGCTGCAGGATGGCCCGAGCGCGCGGAGGAAACAGCGCTGTTCTCAAAGGTGGGTGCTTCCTCTCGGCCTTCCCCCGGCCCGCTGCCGTCTACGCCCTTGCCCTTCTGGGCTTCCCTGTGAGTCCTGGTGGGCAGAATGACTCGGGAGGTATAAGTGACCCGCATTAGTGCACACGGCAATTATTTATGAATTATTAGACTTGAAAGGGATCTTAAGGTCCATCTTATTAAACTCTCAGATGACTTGAGAATCTCTGCAAAAAGAGACATTCAGCCTAAGATAATAGCAGAAAAGATGCACACTTTGGGCCCTGTTATGGGCAGAACCGTGTGCTCTTAAAATTAACACGGCAAAATCCTAATCTCCAATGTGACGAGATTGGAAAACAGTGCCTTTAAAAAGGTAACTAGCTAACGAGGATGTAAGAGTAAGGGCCTAATCCAGGGAGCCTGGCGCCCTCACGGGGAAAGACACTGACATGCTCACACTGAGAAAAGGCCACATTGGCAGGCACTGGAAAGGTGCTTTCCTGCCCCTGGTGCAAATACCTGATGCCCACAGCTTCGAGGAGCAGAGGTTTCATATGAATCACACTTTCAGGGGACTCAGTCCCTGGTCGTCTGTATCCAAGACAGAAAGAAACATCATGGTCAAGGGTGTCACAGAATGAAAAAGCTCACTTGTGACAGCTGGGAAGCAGAGAAGAGCAGGGCCGGGGCGGGGGAAGAGGTCGTGGACCCTAGGCAGACCCCGAAGTCACCTGCACGTGTGAGCACACACAGAAATAGGATTCAAGGACATAATTAAGCTCAGCACCACGGCAGCCATCGCAAGCCAGGAAAGAGATTTCAGAAGAAAATAACCTGGCTGACACCTTCGTCTTACTGTTCTGTTCTCTAGAACAGTGGCAGGGAACCTCCGAGACTGATACAAGCTGCCACTCCGGCGCGTGTGCTGCAGGCCCCCGCCCCACCGCTCCCAAATGTGAGAAGCCCATTTCTCTTGCGCCAGTCCTCAAGCTGTGGTTGTGTTGGGGAAGTCGCAGCAGGCGGACACAGGCCCTCCGTGGTGCCTAATCAGGCTCCTGCCCTCCTCAGAGGTATGCTGAGGAAAACAAAATATTTTCAACAGGAGAACACATAGAGATTAAAAGCATAGACAGTAGGCCCAGCTATTCCTGTATTCTGATTGATCACTCTAATCATGAGTCAGAACTTTTGGACCTACCTAGAGCTCATGTTGTCTAGTTTTAAGATTAGAAGAATCATCTGCTTCTTTCAAACCCACCTTAGCCTTTGAGGCCTAATTCCCCTTCATATGACCAACGCTGAAGCTCAAGCATGATTCATATTTTTAATTACTTGGGACAACAGCAACATGGAAATGTTTATAAGAAACCAAGAAAGCTCTAGAAAAAAAGCTGTGCCACACAGAAGACATAATGCTTTAGCATACTACATGAAGGACAAAAACCACTGACCTAGGTAGGACCACACAGCTGGAGAAGATGGCTATGGACATGTCAAAGAGAATACCCTACTTCTGTCATTTTATATTACACCTAGACAACCATTGTACTGGTTCACTATGGCCACAAATGCCACAATTTTTCACTGCCAATTCCAGAATCAAACAAAATACAGAGCACACTATCATTTTTCAGCAAATTGGTATGAAATCCTGCCCCCTGTTGTCTCAGTGATTCTCTGCCCTTGACACTATAGACCTCATCTCGCCTTGCTCATTTGGGAAGTGCTCAGTGCCCATGGCTTATCACCCTGTCATGTTTTGTTTCCCCTTCCACTTCCACCCTGCGCCAGTTTCCCACAGCGCTTTTCCTTCTTTGCTTCCAGGAGTCAGTGGACATCATGCATTCGGTCCTCCACCCACTTTCTGGTAGGCCCTCGAGATGTAGGAAAACAGCCCTGGTCATGTTCTCAGCATGCTTAGGGGTGAATAGAACAAATGACCAGGCAGACAAGCAGGCTTATTCCAGAGAACAAAAGGGAAGAAGTCGGGAGCCGTGGCAGCGGTCAGTGGGCATTGGGGTACGCCCGGTCCTACTGGATGGCAGAGAAGGATCCTCACTGGCCATACTGCAATACTTTACTCTGGTCCTAAAGTTATGCCAACCTATTATGCACAATGACACTCCTTGGCCCTAGGAAAGTGCTTTGTGTTTTAGTTATTAATACATAGTTGAAGTTCATTCCATGGTGTGTTTTCATAATTATTATTTTTTAAACAATATTTAATTAAAGCAATGTCCTCAACTTCCATATTGTGACCAATATGGTCACAAAAGTATTCCATTTAAAAAAGTTTGTACCAGGCAGCTTGTAGTCTACAGAACAATAGTTAAATCCTTCCTTTACCAAACTCTACCAACATGCCATGTTCTCATGTATAGTTTTAATTTCTTCAAGATATTAAAAGACCATGAGTTCCAGATCCAGAAATTAAGTCTAGCTGAAGATAATGAATCTGGTTCAAGATCACATGCCTTCTACTGTGTCCTGCAACTTTGCCTTGGCGCCGAAGCCTGCGTGTCTGGGAGCTTGACCTTCCTATGCCTTACAACGCTCACTTTCAAAATGTAGAAAGAATTTGTTCAACGGGAAGGAAAAACTTGGAAGGGGAAAAGGACAAAAGAAAGAAGGGAAAATATGTTTAGGCATATCCGCAAGATACTTAGGATAATTGTACCGCCGATTTCCGCTGATCTTTTGAGAGGAGTAGTTAATGCTTAATATGTTTTTCTTTTTATTCTTCTTGTATTTTATGTTTTGAATTTCTTACAACACTTTTGTTATTGTTTTGTTTTCTTTTTTTCCTTAAATCATCTTTGCCCATTTATATCTGTTGGCTTAAACAACTAATTTGAAGATAAAATCATGCAATACATCAACCATTGTTGAATTCCTATTACTTTGTTTAATAAAATTCTGTATCGCTTTTAGCACTGTTTTATCATCATTATTTTGTATTCTTTAAAAAAATTTAAAAAACCCAAAAAACTACAATTTCTACCTTGTAGACCAAATATTATGCAATTTGACCCAATCAGGATAAAGAAAACATAAAAAATAAATCTTATCTCTTTAAAGTCCTTAGATTAAGAGGAAACAAAAACAAGTAAATGAGAGTATGCCACCCCACATCTGAATGTGTCCCCAGGAAGCCATGGTCCCTGGCGAGGATGGACAGCTCGTGGCTGATGCCAAGTCCCAATCTTTTGACCTGGAATTAATGTGAATGAGTGAATGCATAAATAATTCATTCTACCTCTGACTTTAGCTTGTCGTGACCTTTCACGGGGAACTTAATATCTCCAGGCTTCAGTTTTTAAATCAATCAAGAGTTGATTAATAATATTTCACTTGAGAGTCAAACACAGTATGCCAAATAATATAAAATATATGGCCACCCTATGCATGATACAAACATAAACATGGCACAGCCCCAGACAAGAAGGCTGACGTAGGCCTCGTGTACTAAGGAAGTTTCCTAACAATTGGCTTCATTTTGTTTACATGCATGACTGATCCAGGACTATAGCTTATGCTTCTTCATAAACGGTTTAAAATTCCGATCGTGGTGGGCCACACTTCTGCACCTCAAGATTATTCCCTGTTCATGGGGATTTTCAGGGAGCAAGCATGGGATCATGGAAACTGAAGGCTGCCCTGGTGTCACCCAGGCCTGGGCATTTGGGGTCGGAACCACACTAGGCCCCACTTCAGGCCTGTGGTCTCTGTGAGCTGGCACAGGCTCAGCTCAACCCCTGGGGCAGTGCTTTCCCAAGGTCCCCTCTCATTTCACCGTAAGACTAAAGTAACCATAAAGATCATGGGACAGGGGACAAAAACAAACAGTGCAGCCTCAAAATCCACATTTCCATATAAGTATGCACAGCAGGTATCCGGCATGTTTGCATGAATTCCTATGTCGTATTAACTGACAACGACAGAAATCTTACCTGTGACCCTGTAGCTCTGTCCGCTGCCCGAATAGATGCACTTCCCATCCATGTATAAAGAGTACTGAGTTATAACACCATTTGCCTGTGTGGGTGGATCCCAGGAGAGTAACAGGGAAGTGGGGAAGGATTTGGCTACCGGTGACTGAACCTCTTGTGGGGCTATGAAAAAAAAATGAAAAAAGAAAAAGAAAAAGATTTATAGACTCTAATTTTAGTTTACTTTTCTAACTCAAAACTTTTCAGACCTAAACCAATAAATCATAGATTAAGCCTGAAATCCTATGCGTGGGTATGCTCCTGATTCGTGGACAGCTTGTCAGTAATTGCTTTAGGAAAGAGCTAAATAACTGTCCTGGATTTATGGGAAGCTGCACGGGTGATGGAGGGGGAGGACTTACACTAGTTCACTTGACTGAAGTTTGCATGGCTTCGTCAAAAGTATAATAAGTCACAGCGGCTAAGTGGGGTTGAGCCCAGGAGAGCCACCAGGCTGATTGGGTCCCCTGGCCTCAAGGAACTTGGGACTTGTGATATCTGACTCTGATGACTGCCACTCACATAGCTATTAAAATAGCCAAATAATGGAGAACCAGCTCCTTATATGTAGAAACTACTTCTGTGTACTCTTAAAAAGGTCTTCATTTTACACCACCATCAATGAATTTGAGGCACAGGAACGAAACTGTGTGAACATGTGACCCTAGAAGTGAACATTGCTCCGCATGTTAGGTATAAATTCTTAGAAAAGTTAGAAGTTTGGGAATTCCCTGCATAATAAGAAAAGATGAACCGGAAGAGCCTGGATTCCTGTGAGATGTAGATGAAATAGGTGTGAATGGAGCAGCTGACAACTACAGTGGATTTTGTGGACACAGAGAAGCTAATGAGAGACACGAGACAATCTGGCCATACTAGGGCTGGTAGTACGGCATGCAAGAGGGGGGACAGGCCCTAACACCAGCAGGTACCAGGACACATGAGAGAAACTGCTATGCTTAGAAGACCAGAAGGATGGGAGAGATGGGGGAATGCAGATGTGTGGGCAATGGGGGCCGCCTGGTGAGACCAGAAGCGGAAAAAAGAGAACAAAGGGCCACAGTAACAATTTTACAGAATCCTTTTGCTTTGTCACTACTTGAATGGATGAAACTTTGTCATATGTAGTGAAACAGTGCTTGCTAAACCGCTTAAAGGAGGTATGAAGGCATATCAGAAGGATAAGGGGATGAATGATAGGAATGGGAGATGGGTGGACACTTTTTTCCCTAAAGATGGAGCTTTTAAATCTTCCAACAACTTAACAACCAGACAGCAGAAGCAGTGCCCAACTCTTCTCTTTGAGGAGACGGAAACACAAAGTGGCCACGCTTCCCATGTTTTGAGAGTCGTGAGTTCTTGAAGGGATGCGCTCCAATGCTGGGGCAAAGCTCTCATTTCAGAGAGCTGAAATCTTGTCTCTCCCCTACTGCCCCTGAGCACAAGCTTTCTGAAACATTAATTTATGCCAACAGTTTGCAAGTTCCAAGTACAACAAAAGTGAGACTTAAGTCAGAAGGAACCGAGACGTGATTAATAATGCCTCAATTGGCATTGGAGGTCCCGTCACATTGAAATAATTGTTGCCCGTGCTGGTGTTTAGCAGTTAAAAGAGACCATGGAAATCAAGCGTTTGATTCTCAATTTCATACCGTGCCATACAATCAATTCTTTTTAGTCAGACTGTCTCTAGATTTACTTCAGAGCCATAGTAAAATGAGGAAGCTTTCATTAATCTTTCAGATGCTTCATATTAATGACAAGGCTCTTGCATGAACAATGTAACAGCAATTAAAAAGCCCATTAATCTGCATTACAGCTATTAAAGATGCATGTCATTAAAGGGTATGGAGTTTGATTCATTTTCGCACCCCCCAAAAAATGGAGCAATTATGGCCTGGCAATGCACTTTGTCATCAAATTAGGTTGGGGTTTTCCAGCAAATGGCCTAGCAGCATTTAGCTCTTCTCCTATTTTATTATTCATGACTGAAATGTGGAAGTCAAGACCTTTGAAATTACTTTACCTTCTTGTGGAGTAGAGATGCTCGCTGCCTGGGAGCTCTCGGTACAGCCGGCCAGGGTGCAGGCAGTCAGGGTGATCGTGTAGTTTCTGAAGGGGAGCAGGCCTGCCAGTGTGGCTGTAACGACAAGGCAACAAGCAGGGTCTGCATGTTCACCATGATGGTCTATAAAGAGGAGTGTGTGTGTGTGTGTGTGTGTGTGTGTGTGTGTGAGAGAGAGAGAGAGAGAGAGAGAGAGAGAGATTCAACGACAGACACAAAGACAAAGAGAAAATACAAACACACCCCTCTTTAATCAGTAGTCCTGATTACAGAACGGGCCCACTCATGAGGAAACCTTATGAAACCCACTTTTATCAAGACAGCTGTGAAACAGGTATTTCATGTGTCCCCCCGTAAGGATGGGCTGGGGGAGGGGGACCCACACACAGTACGTGAACCAGAGTACAAAATCCCCAACAGTTGAGATGCATAGAGTCTCACACAAGTTCCCAGACCTCCCACAGAAACAAAACTATTTAATTTTCTCGAACCTGGCATTTTTCAACTACATTTAACAGAGGAGTCTTTTTTCTGCAGTAGCTGCTAACATGCTTCAGGAGATGCTACTCCCAAGAGTAGCTTCATTGTTTTAACAGTAGGATACACATATACAAACTATTTGTTTATGTTGTAGTTAACAAATATGCAAATTAACATAGTGGGACAATTAGCAAATTAGATAATTATGCTTTTGTACTTCTACTTGCAGAATTATTAGTTTGTTTAATTAAGACACCTGTTTTAAGAGAACATATTGAATTCACCGGGCTTGGTGGTAGATAGGTCAGATTTATTCAGCAATTAAAAGTACCTGTGAAAATGAAAATGTGTTTTTCTTCGCTGGTATTTATAATCAAGACAGACATTCCTTATTTAGATAACCCTGTGAATTAAAGAGTATCAAAAATGTAATCTAGGAATTTTCTCAGCACTGTTCTTTTCTTCTTAAGGAATGTTTTTAGAGTAAGTTTTAATCCCAAATATGGATTGTTATCATTGTTATAAAAAGATACTCCCATCCCTGATGCCCCTTTATTGATTAAACCTTCAATAGTCTAGCGAATAATGCTTTAGAGTGCCAACATTGGTGACAGCTTGCAGGACAAAATACAAATTTTAATAGGACATGCTTTTGTAGTCATCGCCAATAGAAATTCTTAAAACTTAAAAGAGTGAAGGACTCAAGTGAAGTAGACGTCATCAGCCACGAGCTCTGACACCTCGCACTTGCACTCCAGCCCAGGTGCTGCTTCCAGTCTCCACTTCACAGCTCCAAGGACTGCTCTGCACCCCCTGAACCCCACGCTTCAGCCCTGGATGGAAGTATCCAGCCATCTGGCATCAACATTGCAGCTTATGGCCAAAGAGGGCAGCGAGCCACTGAACTCATTCACATGCACGCGTGACATCTCCTGTCAGGCTCAGCTCCGATTGTTCAGCCCCTTGTGTCCACCTGCTGCTTTGCCTGATTTCTGCCACTGGGCCACCTTCTCTTGAGTCTCACAGAGCATGATCCATACCCTGAGCTCATTCTGTCTTGGGAAGTTCCTATCCTTCCAGGGATGCTTTAGAACTAGCTCCTATTGCTGTATGTCCACCATCACTATGAGGCTGCAAAGAGACCAGACCCTCAGGTCAGAATACCAGGGCCCAGATGCCAGTTCTGCCACTGGTTGGCAGAGCTGTGGACAAGCTGTCCAGGCACCTGTGCATCTGGTTTCCTCAACAGTACGCAGATGATGGGAGACCCCATCTTGAAGGAGGAAGCCTCTTCTATGAAACAAGAATGCTGCACTGCTTGCCATCAGAGGGTGGGGTCACTACCTGGGCCACCAGCACTCAACTCCAGATATGTAAGAAGAAAACTCTGCAACAAAGTGTGTCAGCCCAAGTAAAGCTGTGACTTCAACCCAGCTTCTGCCTTGATGGCTACTCGGTGATTTTTATTGCCCGGACATTGCCAGTCCTTCCTGAAATTGCCATTCCAGTTACCCTCCCTCCTGGCACTTTCAGACGCCCAGACTTGAGCACAATTAAGCCCCCTCTGGTGCTACTGAATGTTCTGGAGTTGTTCTCTGAAACCACAGCAAGCTCCTCACCTTGACTCATCTGTGACCCTCTACACCCTTTGCTTAACTTTGGATTTACAAAGCCGGGTCCTCAGATTTTTTTCTTTCAGTGAAGACTTGGTTTTATTAGTTCATCAGTGATCATGCAGATGCCAACAGAGGTCACATGTCCTCCAAGCACTGGTTTCCCATCTCTAGCTACAGGGCACATACCCATGAGGATGTCCCAGTGCTGCGTCACGCTTGACACGCCTTGACACAGTGCTGTATCGTACATGCTTCTATGAGCATCATCTTTCCATCTATTTCAGACTTTTTCTCTCTTTTTTTCCTTCTGGTAATGCGTAGGGTTGAACTCAGGACTTCAAGCATGCCACCAAGCCTTCCTCCGCTGAGCTGTACTCCAAACCCTTCATTATCTAAGACCCAAATTCCACGTCTGAAATGACAGTGCCGGCATAAAATACGTTCTACCATTCTGTCCTTGGCCAGTCCCTGGCGCTCGCCACATCTTCCCTTCGGTAAGCTCGAATCTGAATCCTATGCAGGATACCTTGTGTGTCTGAATTAGCATAAATGACAAACAGGAAGCAAATCGGCCTTCGGAGCATGGAATCTTTAACACCAAGGTGAGTAAGAAAAGCAGGTTGTGATAAGAAAGACAAGTACACTTCGCTCATCACTTCACTGATGCGCAATTTAAAAACACGCACACCCCAGATGAGCGTGGTTTACTCAGAGTATTGCTCCGTGTCCAAAAGCACATGGTGGCCGCGTACACGGTGAACTGGAACCACAGCACACAGCAGTGCTGCACGTCCAGGAGGAGCTGGTACCTAGAAGCAGTCCCAGTGTTTTATCATTTTTGCAGTCTGGCCTGATAAAATACTTTCTCCCGAGACATTTTCCTCTTCTAATTCAGAACTGAAGTACAATGCTCACATTGCAATTGCTCTATGAGTTTATTTGGAGAATATTAATGTAGACTAAGAAAAACCACGTCACTAGATATGAGCACACTTACTAAGCGATCTTCAGTGTTGCTTAAACTATCTTGATTTCACTAAAGGATCTCTCTCTGTCTCTGTCTCTCTCATTCTCTCTGTCTCTGGCTCTGGCGCACGCTCTCTCTCTGTCTCTCTCTCTTTCTCGCTATGCGTGTGTCTGTGTGTGTCATGGACTCCCATGCTATTTTCTGTTTTTATCTCAGGATCTGAACTTCTAGTCCATGATGACAAGAGACCTATACTTAATTAAAGATGATTGTTGAAAGGATAATTGTTGAGGAATATTCCTCAGAGCAAACTTGCTTTCTACAGCTCTGGTTTTTGGTAGAGAAGTTTACCAAATTCTATCACATTTTGTAGAAAACTCTTAAGGCTCTTAAAGTTTCTGGGGAAGAGCTAGATCACCCCTTCAGTCACTTAGCACTGTGTTTATACTTCCCATTTCAAGCACAGAAAACTATAATAAACACTGAGAAATGACTGCTGCAGACTGGAACAAGAAAAGGAGAAGAGAATGGACCTGCTGACCACTCTGGTTCCCAAAGAGAAGATGTGGATAGTTTATAAACGACCTCTTCAAAACAAGGAGGCTGGGAGGTATCTCTGCCTCAGCCCAGTGTGGAAGCAGGGACTGGCCCTTCCCATTGCATCTCCAAGACCAAGTCAGTCACACCATGGAGATAATGTTCTCTAAATACAAACTGGCATCACCCCTTTGAATGGAGAAGATGAGGATGACAGCATGGCATTTTCTCTCCTCTTGCCAGGTTACAGGGAAGGTTAGGGCAGGAGGATGAGTCGGTCTCCTTCAGTGTCTTCAGTAAATGTGAAGACAGCCAAAGCCAAGCGACTGTCTAGAGCCCACAGTTCATCTCCCTTTGATTCTCAGAATGCAGAGTTCACCAGGGTGGATGAAGGATGATGTTTACAAAAAGTTGTATTATTACCAAATGAGGAGGAAAAAGCACAAGCACTCCAAGACGAAGCAAGGTAGTCTTGGATGTAGCCCACAAGATCCTTGAATGGCTATCCTAAGTGTCCGGCTTCATGCGTCCGAGTCATTCTTGGACTACATACTCTGCAGAGCAAATAAGGCTTCTGTGATAATATATCATCCTAAGAAAGCACTGATCAATTTTCCTTCTGTCTGCCTCTGGGAAAGGTGCACTAGAAGACAATTGATTTTTACATGACTTTTAATATAAGAAAATGTTATTGCTGGAGGGACCCCAATGATACACAGCACCACAGAAAGAAGGATATCTGTAGGCATGTGAAGGGTGCTTCGAAGATTCAGACCATCTGGTCTAAGTTGGTAAGAGGCTTGCATTTAATTAATGATAAATTTTGAAACGGTGATTAGCCCAAGCCTGTGTCAGTATTATACTTAAAAGAATCCTGAGACATATATAGTATGATATATTTGCAAAGGAATTGCAGACAGGAAAATCTGTCCACAGAAAATCCAAATAAATCAGACAGTAAACACTACGCTGTTTCTCTGGTATGAGAAACAGCAATGTAAATAAGGGCCAACATGCATAATAGATATTGTGAAACAGGAAGAAGATATTCAAATGAGAAGGGAAGCTAGGGAGGTGCGAAGAGGAAGGAAGGAAAGAAACAAAAAGTAAAAAGAAAAGGGGGGAGGAAACAAAGCTTTTGTAAACAGGAAGGGGAAGAGGGGCTGGGAAAAAAAGAAACACTATATCACGTACAGGCACACGTTCCTTATGATGAATGTGACCATTATGTATATCTAATAATGTACCAATAAACTTAATTGAAAAGTAGCAGAGGAAGAGGACACGGCGCAGCACCCTATTGTGTGCCACTTCCCCAGTCGACTGTGCCGTGCAGGCGCACTGGGAGAGCCGTGGCTGCGGACCTCTTCCTAGGAGGAGAGGGACCGCCGGCCACGGCTGCTAGGCGGGCGAGGCGGCCTCTCACACTCCCTTTCAGCCACCAAACTCTGTGAAATCAGCAAATGGCCGCGTCC